GAGCAGGGGGGGGTTTCCTCTGTCAATCAGTGCGGGGGTCGGTGGGCTGCCTGGGGGAAACAGCAAGATTAAAGGAGCCGCTGTGCAGCCCATTTCTGCCACAAATTTGGTAAGTATCTAGCCATGAGACTCAGAACTAATGTTAAGTTCTGAATTTGTGTCACCTCTGTTTTTAAAAACTTGGGATCATATCTGTTAGCATAGCTATAAATCAAATTCGGTTTCTAAGGTTTGTTCCCTTGGTAAGACATGATAAACATATCATCTCAGCTAAAAAATAAATAAATCACTAACCATCTGTTCTTGTCAATAATACAAATACTTTGATAATGAAATGTACCAAAACAAAATGCAGTGGACAAATACGTTTGAGATTTATTTTTGTTTTCCAATGAATATGTTCCTTTGCAAACAGAAAAATTATTAAACATTATTCTGAATTATTGTTAATGAAGTTGGTTGGAATGGATTGACATATCCAGACTGTATATTATTGTTGAATAAATGAATGACTGTTATAATTAATGTTTTACTTTATTTGCTGAAGATTTTGGTTTTTGCTTTTTTAAGGGTATAAGTTTGCGCGATGAAAATGTTAGACTTATATCAAAAGAAGGAAAAGGGGGTCTTTTGGGACTCGCATCATAGTTGGGAGAGGCGTGGATAAGCTTTTGGGCATCAAAGAGGGCACTTTGTGCCTGAAAACTTGTCTAATACCTCTTCTAATTATATAGCTGGTCTAATAAAAAATAATACTAAAAAAATATATTATTTTCTGGAGCGACCCTACTACAGGCTTGTAACAAATCAGAGTTTTACTTTTAAGATTTTAAAAGATGGGGTTTTTTGTTTTTTTTGTCAGAATCAGTTTAAATTACCTCAGGTTTCTCAGGGAATGCCATTTAAATGGTTGAAACTTAGGGTTGGCTGGGGCATTTTTCATAGAGGAGAAAACTTACAGTGTAAAGTTAGTTTCTGTGCTTCCGCAGCATAATCAGAGTGTTGTCAAATGCACAAAGAAAACAAGATATATAGGAAATTGTTTTTACTGCTACTCTTTAAGTTAAAGTATACCTAGGAGGTACTCTTAGGTATAGTAGGTGCAAAATGTTGTCAGAATTGTGATATTCAAGTTGCAGAAAATGTTGGCTGATAATGATTGCTTTGGACACTTTTAAAGCATCAGCGGTAGTTGCTTTTGTAGTTTTGCTACTTTTATGTGAAAAGATAACCGTTTATTTGAACATTCTCTTTTTTAGATCTAATCGCGCTCTTATAAATGTTTGGATTCCCTCAGTCTTTCTCCGTGGAAAAGCTGCTAATGCATTCCATGTTTATCAGGTAAGCAATGCTACTTTTAAGGTATATTTTCATGATTATTTTGTTTGTGAATGAATTGGAACACTTAAAATATTTTAGGTATCTAAAAGTGTTTATGAATAAAGAACCTTAAATACTTAGGCACAGGGATAATAACTCCAATCATTTGAGTATCTTACTGAGGCTCTTTCGGTGAATAGAGGTAATCTTATGTATATTTTTAGAACTTGGCCCTACTAATAAAATGGTGATACGATGACTGTAGGCAAACAGGCAGCCATTCAGTGTTCTGCAGTAATGACTTCTTGCGCACCTAAGTGCATATGCATGCTTCTTTGTTGAAGGGAGCTGTAGCCAAAAAATCTAATATTTCTTACCAATGTAAATAGTAGTGGAGGTTCTTCAGTTTTACCTTCATGCGGATATGTGAGACCCTTTGTTTTAGTGCTCTACTTCTAAAATGGTGTTTCAAATGTTTTAGCAGCCTGTTTGCTGTAGTGTCTGTTAGCTACAGGTCTAAACCTCCATGTGAGACCTTTTTCTGCTGCCTTATAATTCAGGCTCAAGGGGTGCCTATACATGTAATCCAGGGTGGGGGGAAGGGGCATTTTAATTAGAGCGGCTCTGCAGAGCTACTGTAATTAAAACGCCACAGTGTCTTGTGTATTCAGTGTCCCACATTTCAAAATGGTGGCGAGGGCACTTTAAAGTTTGTTTGATGAGCTTTAGTTGAAGCACACCCACTGCCATTTTGAAATGTGGGACAGAGAATACATGAGACACCGCAGCATGCTGGAGCATTCCAATTAGAACTCATCAAAGCAGACTCGAGTGGTGGAGCCTTCTAATCAGAACATGTCAGAACATGTGTATGGGCACCCAAAAGTTTTAGCAGCTGAATTAAGCTAAAGAATTGGAGCAAAAAGGTATTAGCAGCTAAGTTTTACAGCATGTACAGACATTTGCTGTCCCATAAACACTCCTGGGAGTGTTTTAACCTTGGTTGTTCGCAAGTTATTTTTCTCTTGGAGCAGCCATTTTTACTCTGGAAGAATGTCTAAACATCTGTACACTTGTGTTTCTCTTGGGGGGACCAGGGATTCTCCCAGGAGAAACTGAATGTCTGTACAAGGCCTTACTTTCATGTGTATGTGTAAATTCAGCACTCAGATTGAATTAGCTTTGGTTTTTCATTTTTGTAATTTTGTTTGTTGAGATTTCCAATAAAAAAGCCCAGGTTTTCTCTAAAGAATAAACAGAAAATAGAAGGTTACTTACATTAAAATTAAAAAACCCCGCTGTATCAGGGGGCCTTCCCAGGGCCAGTTAGAAGTTGGCCTAACCACCTTTTTCTGGGTTAACCACCAGCCTCTCTTGCCTGCCACACTTTGTTTTTTAATAAAAATTGGTGACTTAATTAGGTGGGAGGCTGCCTTTTGGTGGCCCTGTTCTCCTGGGCCTATATATGCAGCTCCAACTGCCCCTGTACTGCATCCCAAGCCTTGTGGATGATACACACACATACGATGCTCCCTCACACCACAACTGGTGCTTCTGGGTCTCACAGGGACTCCCTGGAGCAGCAGGTCATAGTGCTCCACCTCTAGGTCGTTCTTTTGACCCACACTCAGCCTCCTTGTGGCAGAGGACTTACTGGGATCAGGACTTGCTCCTAACTCTTTGACTGAGCCCCCCCACTTGGCCTCTGGCCCAAACTATGGCCTCAGGCATCAATGAACATACCTTGGCCTCTTCCCCACACATGGGGTTCCTACTACACCCACTCTAGGGCCTCTACACCATGCCCCACCTTGGGGTCTTCTCATCATCCTCACACTCAACTACAGACACGGGCTGGCCCTTATGCTGCCCTTCAGGCTGGGCTGACTCTCAGTTCGGCCCTACTCAACGAGCCCCTGGGACTGCCCTTCAGGCCTACTCCCCATTCATCCCTACTCAGCCCCCCTCATGCACAGCCCTTCCGGTCTACTCCTGTTCAACCCTACTGTGTGTGGGGCCACCTACATCCCTGTCCTGTCAGGGACTTCACAACTGCCCTCTCTCTTGGGCTTCACCATGACCCCCTCTTTTCAGGTCCACACAGCTATCCCCAACCAAGGCCCTCCAGGGTTTTACTCCCCTGCAGGCTTAGGTGGCCATAGCTGTGCCTGGCCCTTGTACCCACCAAGTTGTGGGGGCTGGGGTTATTAAGGCGCCCCTACCCACCTTTCACTGGGGTGATAACTGGCCTGGCATTTCCTGGGGGCTCCCACACCACTAGGAGCCCCACCAGGCCACCCATCCCTGGCAGTGTGCATTTTTAGGTCATGCCCTGGACCAAGAGCCTCCTAGGCATCTCCATAAGCTCTTACCCTTACCTCCTGGTGTTCCTGCTGCAGCTCAGCCAGGTGATGCTTCCGCATCAATGCTTTACTGCCGGTTGCAGCACCCTTTATGGCATCCTTAATAGGTAACAATTGTGGCCCTTAAGGGTGCTGTGCAGGGGCATCTGCTCCACTGCCATCATGTCAAAACAGCTGGTCCTGTGTGGCACCCTTCAGGGTAAATGCATGGCACAGGCCATCAGGTTCAGTATGGCAGTCGGCTCAGCTTGTGTGTAAAAGTGCCAGAATGGGTGGATGACCCAGATTGCCACCACCACACAGTTCCTGAGGGTCTTTCTGGTCTGCTTGACTAGTGGGAAGCAGGCATGAATAGGCCTATATCAGGCAGGTTGCTGGCTTAGAAGCTGTAAGAGCCAGTTGGGACCTTTGGCTCTGAGGCCTTGTGTCTACAGCTCTGAGGTGGTCTGTGTGCTAGAAGGAAACAGTGCTGGGACCATGCCTATGTTTCATTGGAAGTTCATCAAAACCAGGAGTGAACCATTGGATTCAGAAAATTTATCATTTTTCAAGAAAACAAAACAAAACAAAATAAAAAATTCAGAAAATTCCGACCCACTTTGTCCTTTACCATGTACCCAAGAAGTAGGAAAGTTTGGAATTTGAATACCACCAGAGGTATTTGGATCCAGGGTTTTGGCTCTGTTCATCATATAAAGGTGGAATCCAGAACTTCAGTTCAAAGCTCGACTTTTAATAAGAGACAGTTTGTGGTAAATGATATCTACAATTGCCAAATCTTGTTGTGAATTTTTGTCACTTCATTGGAACAATGTAAGTATTAACATTTGGATGGTGTCTTGCTATGCCTGAAACCTTCCTTTGGGAAAGTGCACTTCCTCTTTATCTCCTTTTACCCCTTCCTCAGATTCTTGTCAAGGTTTAGGTGCCATAAACATTCTTTTCCCACTTTTCTCCTTGTATATTTCAGTATTCTGACTCATAACATGCCCACCTTTGCGGGAGGAAGTCAGATTTTGAGAAGTGTCTTAAGTACCATTTTTCAAAAATCATATAGGCACTTAGGATTCTATATATTATTGTAATTGGGATTAAGTTTCTAAATGCCATGTCATTTTTAAAAATAAGACTTGGGCTTTAAAGTCATTTATGTGGTAATGGAAAAATTTACCATGGGCTTCTTGGCCTGTGTTGATGTCTGACATTTTATTATGTAATTATGACGTTTATTTCTTGTAATCAGTTGGCTTAGTTATCTGGTAATATCCGATGGCATTTTGTACTAATTTTTATCTAATGACTATAAAGTGCAGTGTTCTACTTCACTTTTTTCCTGTTAGGTCTCAGTAATGGTGTACTTTTTTAGCTGTGAGAGCTATTTTATGAAGTGCTCTTCTAGTAATTGCACTTTCAGGATTTTTATGGGAGGAACATTTAGAACAGTGGGAAGAAAAGTACAACAGCAGGGACATACTTCTCACAATAAATAATGGTGACTGGAAAGATGCATCTTAGGAAAGAGAGAACCCAATGAAAACCATTTAGGAGGATGCTGATGTGAGAATGTCGCTATACACTGATCTTTGCTAACAGTGATATTCATAGGGTTCAACCAGAGAGCTGATATTTTTTCTTATACAATTTTAATTCCTTTTAAATACTTTTGTGAAAGGAGTATGAGCTTACGGTCTTTTCTAGAATAATTTTGTTTAATCTAGAGAGTTAATCAAAAGGTAGAATGTGATTTACCTTAGCATAATAATAATCTTTTCTTGATATTTTTTCCTTAGAAGCTGCTTATCAATTTCAGTCTCTGAAAGCTAAAGAGAAAATAGGACAGAAAATTTGTGGTCACCTGTGAGATGAATGCCTTAGTATTCTTGGCAGTGTAAAGATCCAAGAATCCCAAACACATCTGACTTTGAGCTAAGATTCATTCAGCATGGGTACTAATTCCGTTGATGATAAGCAAGTAACCAGTGGGTGGGTCTGTCTAGCTAATTTACTGTACCAGGCCACAGCCTGCTCTGTCGCACATGTTTGAGCATGCATCTGTCTGGTACAGTAAGTCATGGACAGAGATGTACATCTGAACTGGTCAGAATTCTCTTCCAACTAGAAATGCTTCAGGCAGTGGAGATAGATGAAGTCCCCTGGCAGACCTGCACCGGTATGCTTTCTGGCCAGGGAGCACAAAAGGGAGTTGCTCAGGCCTCTGGTTCTTCACTAACCCTGTCATCCTATAGTTAAGGCTTTGGAGAGAAGAAAACAGCTGAACTTTTTTACTGCAGCTGAATATATGCATTTTATAGTGTGATTTTAGATTACTGTAGCTGTTGTGACTTTTTCTCTCTCCCTTGTAAGTGACAAATGTCCATAACTTATGTTTTAAATTTATTAATCTCTTTCTCCTTGCCTGGCTCAATGAGAGAGAGTATTGCCCAACAGGCAAATGACTTTTTGTCCCAGGCATACAGAAGGAAACCTAAGATACAAGGTGTGCAATTTTTATTAGGACACAAGTTTATTAACTCACCTGGGAACGTTATCATGAAATAAACTGGTCAGTTCCTATCATGATGTGAATGTTCAGTGAACTTGAATGTTGCAGGGTTTTTTTTGGCAGACTTGTCATCGTTCCATTGTTGGAACCAACTG